ATTTACTCATTGCTGTCCTGATTTCACAGACATCTTGTTTACAATGGGCAATAAGATATGATGCTGAGCACCTGAAGCTTTTGCAGAATAGCTTCTCACCCCCTTATGGGACTCATAAGATGCATCAGCATGGCTCCACACTTGGGCTAATTTGCGCTTCTGAAAGGCAACTTCATGTCTCCACCCACTGCTGAACTCAGCCATTTACTCAGGGTTATGTGACTTAGGGCTGGATCTCTGGCAATGCTGCCCTAAAATATTGTGAAATCTTTCTTAATGTGACTAATAATTTGTGAAGCATGGCTTACTGCTGCAGGAGCTGTGCTCCCAGTTCACAATTATATCACATTTATCCATATGTCTACTCATTTTATTCTTCATATTAATTTCAACAAATTTGCTAACTAAAGAATTCAGACTGGTATGAAGTTTCACACATTCATCCTTATGGCATTTTTTATTCCTTTGGTAGCAAGTCAGTTTTAATTTTAACTTGCAAGCAGAGTTTATAATCCGCCAATACGGTATTCTTTTAGAACTTGGCTTCATATTTCTAGGTGTCAGAAATTTGTTACTCTTTATTTTTCCACTTTCTTCTAAAACTTCTTCTATTGACATTTAAGTTCAAGATAGTATCCCTCAAATATAGATTACCCTCCAATATGAAGACAAGTACTAGGAATTTGTTTAGTATTTCTGCTGCAACTTTGCCTTCCTTGGAGACTCTTTGCACCTTGACCACATCCATCATCTGACTGACAAGCTTTCTGTTTTAAAACATGTTTAAGGAAAATATTTATTATTAGTTTTATGCCTCTGCCTTGGCTGTTGTGTGATGGTTTTAAATTTAACTTTCTTACTTTCCTAATCTTATGCTCTGTTTTTTTTTCTATTTTCCTTATTTAGACTTTTTTTTTCCCCAACAGGCTGTTTTAAATTCTATTGTCTTCTTTGTTCATCTCGGGGGTTTTTTCCTGTCAGCATTTTTATCCTCTTTTAAAAATTCTTTTTTTATAAGTAGTATACAATTACTCTAAGCATCAAAACCAGTGGCTTTAATCATTCCTCACCCACACAGAGTGTTTAACGTTTTTACATTCCTTTAAAAGATCTTAATATACTTGTTTTGATAAACTCACCTTGTCTAAAACAAATACTAGTAAAATACATAAATTCTTTTGTTTCTCATTCTTACAAAAGTACTGAATTTGAGTAACTAATATTTATCAATGGGGTATTGTCCTTAATTTGCATCATCATATAGGTTCTGCACAGTGTTTAGGTTAAATCAGTAAATTCCTTTTGTCTCCCCTTCTAGCAACTCAGGCTTCTTTGGCGACTCAGGCTTTAGCACTACTCATTCAATAAATTAGTTATAGGAATTAAATTTTCTGTTATGGTTTTCTGATTATAAACACAAGTTCAAACTGTTTTATCACATGTGATAAAAAAATAATTCTTGACATTTTTAATGGACTTTTCCACCTGATGTGTTCATTACAGCTGTTTGGTGGACCACTGTTCATTCCAAACCAACCTTGTGCCTCTGGCAACTGTCCTTTAAATGATTAGGGGCAAGTAAAATTCACTTCACTGTACTCTGCTGACCTCATAGTGACATACATTGTGGGGAAAGGCCCATCCAGATGGGAGGTGATCCACTCCTGTGCCCCAAGGCATGAGATCAAGGTGCATCTCCTTGACAAAAAGAGAGTCGACTGTAGCTGAAGTAATAAACACTATCATTTGTCTAAACTTTTGTTAAAGCCCTGCATGATAGAAGTTTCACAAGCTGCCTCAGGTAATACATTTCTACAATGAACTACTCATTTCTTTTGTTTGTTCTTAGCTTTTTTATAACAATAAACATCTGCAATTAAGCTTGCTCTGAACTAGACAGCTCAAGTGAAGTTTGGAAGCTTAAACAGGTCTCTAGTAACATTTTAATAAATCAGATGTCCCTAACAATCTAGTACACTCAAAGGGAGAAACCGTAAATTCAGACTCAGAGCTAATAAAACGTGGCATGGCAGCAAGATCCTTTTCTAGAAGAATTCTTCTTTTCTAGAAGAATTTTTGATTTTGAAGGTACAACAGCAATTTGATTTGATTACTTTCTGCAGTGTGGTTGGTAGACAGAAACTATGTCTCATAAGTTTTTTGTATTTTTGTACCTAAATATGGGCCTCTCATTATTCAAGGCCTTGTATAACTGACTTAGCTACCTCATCGAAATTCCCCAAAATACATGTTTCCATTATCCAGTTGCTATGATGTCACAGACTGGTATCCTTACTGAGCATATATCTCCTCTTATTTTTATTTTTTTTTTCCATGGGACATTCATATATTCCAAATCCGTTTAAATATGAAAAGTCTTAGATTATGAATATGAATTAGCTTATGGCTGTGTAGTTTTGGATTCATCCCACCTTCACATTTTCACAGTTTGATTGCTGAGTTGATGACAGTTTATTTACTTAAATATTTATACTCTAGCAGCTTAATCTCTTTCTATTTTAAGGAAAAGTAACATAGAAAATAAGTTACTCTGCTATTGCCTACCGTGGTGTTTGTCCCTGGTTTGCTGTGTGAAACCATGAAATGCAGGACCTGTATCCAGCGTATGCATGTGTTTTATTTTTGGTTTCTTTGTAGTCTGCAAGGGATTTTAAAGCTATTTTCTGAAGTTTGGTTTTAGGTCTCTCTACAGAGATAGTGGAATACCACTTCTATTTGAAGTGAGAGCTCCATGAGGGCTTAAATTGCAGCTAGTGACATTTAAGACAGGTAAAAGAAGCAAAGGTAGTTGATTGCAGAAATATATTACCTAGAGCAGGTTGTGGAATTTCTGTCATGCAAGGCTTTAACAAAAGTTTAGACAAATGGTAATGCTTCACTTCAGCTATAGTTTACTCTTTTTGGCAAGAGGGTGTATTAAATCACTCTTTGGTTTCTTTGTCAGTGTTATTTTCTTCTGGTCTATAGGAAAGAAATTTCTTATTTAACTTCCTTAATTGGAGGTTATAAATAAAACATAGAGATTTTAGGCTAGGAAAATCAGTAAAATGTGAAACCTTATGAGATTGATGATACACAGAGCAGATAAGGCATGTTAACTGTTACTTCAGAATTTAGGCTTGGGATGATGGCTTTGATATTTTAGTGCTCACCACAGGAGACAGAAGCTTCTGTAATCAGTATTAAAATTCTTTATGAGAACAAGCACAGTATGGACATGTCTAACTGCATATTCGATTATTCTTCCATGAATAGCCAATACAATTCTTCTCAAAATCCATGACACTATAGAAGGCAGATTCTGCTACCCTTATTATCATAGTTAAAACATGTATGTACTCCATGCCATAACTACTATGCTCACCAAATATATATGCTATAGAACCTTACCCTAATTCTTTTGGAGAAACATATAACTCAAATCTGTCATTTATTGATAGCTAAATTTGAATTTGTGTACCTGAAAAATAAGCCTAATTTCCTGGTGCAAAAAAGCCCAGAAAGTTGGGGGCTTGCTTCATTGTATACAGCTGAGGTATAGTATAATAGTATATGTGGTATATTAGTTATATAACCTAAGCATCTGCCCTGTTGTTATCCATACTATCAAAGTAATTTTGAAAGTGAAATTCCTAAGAAATATGGTTTTCTTGAGAAAGCTGTGGCTCTAACGTTGGAAGTTGTAGTCCATGTGTCAAAGAGTGAAAGCATATCTATGAAGGTAAAAAAGATTCGTCACTGTTAAATGACAATTCACAACTAGCACTCTGTCTCTAAACTATTACATAATAAATATAATATGCATTGATACAGGCATTAACATCATTCAGCTACAGTTGTGAACACAAACCAAGGTTATGTAATTCTCTTCTGCAGATGGCAAAGCTGTGGATATTGCTGTGATATACCCAACCAGAGTGATCTTTCCTAAAGATATCCTCAGTATTTTCCCTGTGTCAATAAAAATGGTAAAAGAAGTATCTGAGAGGAACAGTAATAGCTTCTGAGTTGCTATTGCCAAGTATGAACTCAGAAAGGAGAGAATCTAGTATGAAATGCACATTAAGAGCCATACCAGCAATAAGATACAATTTTAAAAAACAGATACCTTTACTACTTTTTCTTTTAAAGTCTTTCGCTTGCCAATCAGTATTACTTTGGTTTTATTTAGATTGAACTTCAGCTAATTCACGTCATCCATATAATTTTATCACATCTGTCAAGCACCGTAAAGCACAGAAATTTATACATAGGAGTTTAATGAAAAGCAGATGAAAACTTTATATTTGTAATATTATTAATATTTCTAGCAGAATAGTTCTTTTCTTTCCCCCCCTCCAGCCCTTTCTCTTTTGACAGGCCTGCCTGTCTGCCTATCTGCCCTTCACAGGTCTCTGCCCATTCTCAGGGGATGGGCTTGTATAAGCATGGTAACCATGTGTTTAACAAGGCAGGTGACTGGCAATCTCCAAACCTGCACATCCCAGTATATTATGGGCTGAGGAACAAGTGCACATTAAGCATAGGAGAAGGGACCACAGAGAAAGAAGAACCCCTCAGTCATTTCTGTAAGGCTTCACTGTCCCTCATGTAACTGCATTGTTAATGGTGTCAGTGTTTGTTGGCAGATGTAGAAAATTCAAACTCCTCATTTGCTCTTCAGTGCTATAAAGTATAGGTTATGGTTCAGTTTCCCTTGCTAAGATACCTTGCTCTCTAAAAAAGTGGCCTCTCTAAAAAAGGAACAGAAATTCCAACATAAAATGGGAAAATCCTCTCTTAACTTGTCCATTTTGTGACTTCACTTCCAAAACACAGGTCAGTCACCACAAAAAAAAATGGCTCTTCTTCCTTGTTCTTTGCAGAAGTATGGTTTTACACAAATTTAGGTGGGACTATTCAAAATTTTAAATTTTTCTTCTGCATAAGTTCAACTGAGTGGAAATATGTTTTTGTTTCTCTCCACAGGATCAGCTACTATTTTCTGGTATTTTTGTGAACGATTTTTCTCCTCTCAGCAATAAAGAGAAGATTTTTTTGGATCCAAGTGCATTCTGGTTGTAAGGGTAAAAATTTCTCTTAATGGCCATCTCTGATTTAGGGGTGAATTTCTGAAACTGAATACAAAATTTAGCAGTTAAAGATGAATTGCAGAAAAATGCTGAACTTGAACATCATTACCCTGAAAGCTTTATGTTATTTTAGCACACCACAAGAAGCTCATTTGAGGGGAAAATGTAACAAAATAGATGGATGAACAAAACAGGGGAGATGTCACCTAATTCTTTCTGAGAGAACCTCTCAATCTTCCTGTCAGCCTAATCTTCTGAGAAGAATTCTTTCCCCTAGAATAATTATAATGAATAATCTTATGTACTAGTGCTATAACTTCTGCACCATTGTTTACCTGTCTGCCTTTGGGATTGGAACCATATTGCGCTTAGACTGCTGAAATTTTGTAAAATGTCATTATTTGACAGTTTAGCCATCTGCCCTCATCCAGATGCTCCCATTCTCTAGACTGATCTGTCGCTGAAGGAATGCAAAAAGCACGGCAGTCTCTGGAACCCATTTACTGTGAAGCAGTGTGCACTGGTGTTTGCTGGCTCAGCCATTTCCTCCCAAATGTTGTGCATATTCATTGCTCTTCTGAATATTTTGTCAAAAATGTTATTGGGAAACCCTTTTTTTTTTTTTTTTAAAATCATGTCAGAGTTAGCAATTTTTAAGTCAGTAATTCAATTTTTTTTTGGTAGAAATGCTGCTGTCCCATCTCCCTTGGGAATGCCACCATTTGGATCTTGTCTCAAACTTTCAGTGTTTGTTGTACAGAAGATCAAGAGAGGATGTAAACAAGATGAGTACTTTCTGCTTTTTTTCTGTGTTTTGGAGCTTTTTCTTCTTTCATAAATATCCTCAGATTTTATCTAGTCATGAGAACACCAGCAGTTCCTTCAGGACATTTTCTCACTTAAATGGGATGCTACGTTATATCTTTGGAACATTTTTTGTTTTTACATTTCTTTCTTCTAATATACTTTGTGATGCTAGGTAATTTCATTTCCAGGAAACAATAAATCTGTACATAAGCATTTTATTTAAAAAAAAACCAAACAAAATTTAAGAAAAAGTCACCTAGGTATTTGATCAATGTTCTTAAAGAAAAATAAATCCTTTTGAGATGGATGAGGCATGCAGCTTTGGGATGTAGCAGAGACCTTTCAGCAGAGAGAAGAACATCATTGTACAGGGGATAAAGGAGGGAAGAATTTACTTACTTCCTCTGTTCAGACTCAGACTTTCTTAATACACAGTAGCAGTCTGCAGGCTGCTGGAGGGTCACAGAGGGTATGGATAGAAGACGTACTTAGGATTTAGACTCATATGTCAATAAGTAATTGCTTCAGAGATGTGACTTGCACGCAAAAGGATACAACTAATAGTCATAGGAAAAAAAATATCCTTCTCCTCTAGTCACAGTCATAGAGGGAAGAATAAATCTCATTTTTATATACTGTTCTTAACTGGTGTTATTATTCGTCACCGGGGGAGAGGCTTGAATTGTTAGAGAGGCAGATGGGATCATCTCTATGCCCAGGTACTTAAGTAGATCTCTGCACTGTAGTGCATGAGTGCCTCCCAAATACTGAGAAATAAAAATAATAGCTCATGTGTTTTTTCTGCCATCTGAGACTTTAAAAAAGATAATGGGTATTATAAAAGGAGTTGTGTGTGTCTGAGCCAGGTGCGCCTCGTGTGCAAAACCTCTTGTATTGTCTCCTCGAGAAATCAATGAATTTTTGTTTGCTTCCAATACAGAAAAAAGCAAAAACATGGAGGAATTGCCAAGATATATGGAGAAAAACAAGGAACAGGTGGCTGTGGAAAAATAAAGATTAAAGTACATTTTACCAGTAGCAAAATTAATTGAGATATACAGAGAGTTCACATGGTCAGTTTTAGTCAGTGAGCAAGCAGGTGCTTATCCTAGATGATAAAAATAAGGTATACATATCAGACAGAGGTTATCACCAGAGGAAGAGATACACTGAATATGGCCTTTGACTAAATAAAACAAAAATTAATTAAAAATTAATTTTTTCAACCTTTAGTATAACATTGTGCTAACATCATGGTACACTAAAAAAGATAAGTTCTAGTAGTGGATACCTTGGCTAGCAAGTTGTCCACATTGAAACAAGTGATGGACTTTTTCTGTGTCTGCAGGTGCTTCTTAGAGAACTAGAATATAATTATTTTTCATAATCTCTATCCTGATATTGTTTATTAATATTTATTAGTAATAATTTCTTTCTTTTTCACTAATACATATTGACCTTGAGAGAAATTTCAAAAGCAGAGAACAAAAGTATTCTAGTATATGGGATGAGCACAGAGTGGAACACAGGGAGTCTTTGTCTTTTTCTTATCTCTTCTTGCCTCCTTATGTTCCTTCTGTCACCTCATGCCATTATTATTTGCATAAATATTGTGACAACTGTGTTGCATGCTCCATAATGTTCATTACTGTTTTAGAGGCTATATCTCAAGTGTGGGACTGAAGGAAAAAGAAGACCACATTAAAACCTGAAAAATGAATCATCATTCTGAAACTTGTATCAATCAGCCTGTACGTGATACTAAAACTGACCTGCAGGTCCTTTTGTTGAGCGTAGAAATGTCACATGTGCATGTAAATCATGTGCCAGCCGAGCTGTAGTTTGGGTGAGCTTGAAGAAATGGAAATTACAACTTAATTAGAACAAAAAGGGAAACTGCAACTGCCACAGACTCACAGTGAACAACAAAGATATGCCACACACTACTGGTGTTGTAGATTACTGCTGAATTAGAACAAATCTGAAATCTTAAATCAGCAAGAGTGAGGCTCTTCCTTAGGAACCTTTTCATTGGCTGACAGACCCAGTAAAGGGTTCACAGCTAAGGTCTGTAAGTTCTCTGTTGAGCCACTATTGACTGTTTCCTCCACAGCAGGGTTACACTTCAATTGGGTGGTCTGCTGCACTAAGAACTAAAGGTTCAAAGACACTCATTAGCTTAAGTTGCTTCTATTGGACTAAGTTATTTATTTGGCTGTGATGACTCTTGGGCTAATGCACTTTTTTCCATATAGGACTTTTCCATCCTTTTACCGCTGTTGGTGAAGTATTTGTTGTAAATAACTGACTGCCTGACTTGCATGGCAGGTGACAGAGATGAAACAGAAAGACAGGAGTCAAGACAAGTGGTCTGAAGCTGAAGATGATGCTCTGCGTTGTATATAATACTTCTGATGCCTTTTCTTTTTATAGAGTGAACATCCAGCCACCTTATTCATAAGCCTCATTGCATAAACAGGTTGTGAGATGCTTGTGAGAAAAAATGCAGCTGGAAGGTAGCATAGAAAAGAAAAAAAAATGGGAAAAAAAAGAAAGAGGAAGTGTAATTGCCTAGCTGTGCAAAAAATAACTGTGTTGTATGGATAAAGTTTAATGTTAACAAGTTCTGCTAATTTCCCCACAGCACATTTTCATGATGCTAACAAACAAGAGCAGCTCGTTAATTATGAGTAGCCATGTTAGACTTTTTATTTCATGCTCCCCGCTTTTGAGCAATGTTCCTGCTTTGTTTCCATTTCACGGTCTAAAAATTTCCTCAAACATTAGATCAGGAAACCTTACTTTTGTGTTCCCATCCTATCTACTTGATCTGGTGAGGTGTTTTGTTTTGTTTTGTTTTTATCTGTATTGTGACCTTATTGGGTACTCACTCATATCATAAACCCTTTTTGTATCCTGTACCAAAGTGGTTCCAATTTTTATTAGGACTTAAAATCAGAATATGCTGAGTTGGAAGGCACTCATGACTCTGATGACTCTGATGATTCTGCTGATTCATCAGAGTAATCAAGTCCAACTCCTGGTCATCCACAGGACATCCCAAGAGTCACATCATGTGTCTGAGAGAATTGTCCAAACAGATTTTCACCTCTGTCAGGCTTGGTGCTGTGACCCTGGGGACCCTGTTCCACTGCCCAACCATGCTCTGGGTGAAAATCCTTTTCTAATAGCCAACCTAAACCTCCCCTGACTAAATTTCATGCTGTTTCTTCAAGTCCTGCCACTGGTCATGAGAATGAAGGGATCGGTACTTGGCCCTCTGCTTCCTCTCCTGAGGATGTTGAGGACCACAATGAGGTCTCCCCTCAGTCCCCTCTTCTCCAGGTGGAACAGACCAAGTGACCTCAGCCTCTCCTCATAAAGCTTCCTCCCCAGACCCTTCACTGTCTTTCTTGCCCTACTGTGGATACTCTCTAATAGTTCAATGTCTTATATTGTGGCACCCAAAACTGCCCCCAGCACTCGAGGTGAGGCTGCCCCGGCTCAGAGCAGAGCAGGACAATCCCCTCCCTTGCCTGTGGCCATGCTGTGCCTGATGCACCCCAGGACAGGATTGGCCCTCCTGCCTGTCTGGGCACTGTTGACTCGTGTTCAACTCGCCATGGACCAGGAATACTAGGTCCCTTTTCACAGTGCTGCTCTGCAACCTTGCAGACTTGG